TTGGCATTTTATAATATATACACAAACATTCTAAAATCCCAAAACTTTTCTGGTCCCAAGCATTTCAGATAAGGGAGAGCTAACTTGTAAATAAAATGTACCTCTTACATGATCAGAGGTATCTTTCTTATATATCCTCTGGCTTCTGGCTATGGTACTAAAATGATGGTGTTGGTTGCAGAATTTATTGCAGCTAATCAGCTGAGTCCTAACACAAGCACAGCCCTGCCTGAGACATTTAAGAAAAATTTGTTTTCTTTCTGATCTCCCCCCTCCCCCACAGACACACTTAAAAATAATCCTTTTATTTTTAACAAGCAATTGTATGTGTCTGAATGCTAGTTTCTTGCTTCTTAAGAGAACAGTTTTTTTAGGAATATGTTTCTTATCTATGAGTTTGAAGAGAAGTGCCTGATATAGTACAAGAAAAAAGGAATATGTGGTGTTAGTATATCTGTGTGTAGTGGACATGTAAGTCTTCAAATTAAGGAATGCAAAAAAGTGACCAGAAGTCTTTGGGAAAGGCAAGAGTCTAGAAATTTATTGATTGGAACAAATCAACTGAAGCTTGGGTTTCCGGGCCAGAAGTAAGGTTTAATTGTCCTAAGCTGAAGTGCTGTGCTTTGTTTAGTGACTGTGATATTTTATTCTGTTAGGAGATACACAGAAAGCTCTTCTTCACAGCTGGAGATCAGACTAGATGGGTTATAGCAGCTTGCTCTCAAGACTCTTCTTCTGTGATTTAGATGTAAAACCCCCCCAGTTAAAACACATCAGACTTGTTTCTCTTGACATGCACTTTCAGAAATAAAGGGAGAAATGGAAATGAATATTTTCATTACACTCTCATACAAAATAAAATAATGGTTGTATTGTTTTTGGTGAGCCACAGCATCAATTCTTTTATAGCTTTGAAGCCATTGCAGTGACTTAGAAGGTTTGAAGGCAATTAAAATTTTAGGAGGCAACTTTTTAACCATAGCTTTTGAGGGGTTTTACATATTTCATGATATAACCATTTTCT